GAACTCAGGCTTCAGAGAGGGTAGGTTTCATTACAGACAAGGTAATCTAAGAGTAAAAGCGATAAAAGAATTCTGTGGGGTAGCCAGACTCAGAAAGGTGGAATAACACTTTTACAAAAGATAAAACCCAGGAAACGTTTATGGCAAGCTTGTACGTTGCCACTAAACCTACCAGAAAAAGCAAATCCCATTAGAAACCCCCATCACAATTTATAACTATCTGATTTAAGTACATCACTGTTGAGTAACAATAAGCACCCCTTAAACAGGTCAGAAACCAGAAAACACATAATAGTTTTTATTTCTAATGAGATTTCATTTACTATTAAGGCATTGTCTCAACCTCATTTGTGCATGCATGGTTCTGAGAAAGGTTATCATGCAAAATGAAATAAAAAGCCTTGGGCAAAGTAGGACTCCAATCATAATTAATCCTTTTGGGCCGTATTTAAAGAAAATTACTTTTCTCAGCCCTGTTCACTTATTTCTGAAATGCAGTCATTTGCCTTATGTTCCAGGATATCCTTGATCAAATAATCCTTTTCTAAATCAACTTATTTCAACATATGCGGCCAATGTGGCTGTCATCCTAACCTCTCCTGGCATTCACACCCAGCTCTCCTTTATTTACTACCCTACTTTTGGCACTGTGAGCATAAACCATAGGTTCTTCTTTTTACAGGAGAGGTTGGATGCCAGTAGCCTTTAGCCTCCTTCAGCCCATCTTGTACCTTGAACCTGGACAAGATGTATAGAGCCCCAGCAGTCACTTGATAATAAACCAACTTGCAACAAAAATAATGAAAGTCAGTCTGAGAACCATGAAGCTCCCACATCAGTCCCAGAGTCTATGTCTAAGCCTAACAGAAAAACCTATATAAGCCACATTGTACTGGGGCTGTGTTATACAACATTATAATAAATACAAACTCTTCAGGGCAGGGGAGAGAAAGAGGAAAAAATATCTGAATGTTGTTTAAATGTAGATTAACTCGGGTCTCTAAAATATTTCATATTCTGAAAGCTCTAGCCTAAAGAACATGCTTATTTAACCACTAGTTGTGTGATAGAAATATCTACAAGGCAGTGCAGTGTTCATCCAAATGCTGGCTCCAACACAAATCAATTGTGTCCTTGTTAAAGTTACTTAACTTCTATCCTTACGCATAAAAAGGGAATATCCTCAATCAAGTATGATTAAGAACATTTAGTTCTCCCAAAATTGCTGACTAATACTGTCAACTGAAATCTCACTAGTTTAAACTATACATGGAATAGCAATGAAGTTTTTTTCCTCAAAATCTCTCAGTCTAGTTACATTATACCCAACTTTTGTAAACACGTGTACTTAATGGTCACCTTATACATACCACTTGAGGTTCCTTTACCAATCAAGCTTGACATTTTTGTCTGAGTGAGTTCACTATGTATTTATCTGGAAATCTCAATCGTCCAGCTATAATTCAAGTAAAAGATTCCAAAATGATGGGAAAAAGTTTACGTTTTTTTCCCTAAAGGAGGCATACAATATGTAATTTATTACAATATGTAATAAGTTTTGGAGGTTTTGTTATGCAGTACTAGGTAACTGCAACTATTGATACGCCTTCCCCTGAACAGCTGACTCTTGAATATCAAACTTGAACTAAAAGGGTCCACTTACACACAGGTTTACTTCTGTCTCTACCACCCCTCAGACAGCAAGACTCCCCTCCTCAGCTACTCATGAAGGCAATGAGGATTGAGACCTTTATAATC